AAATAAAAACGTTTCCACCATAAATTGGTGCAGACATTTTCACAGGATTTTAGGACAATTAATTTGCTGTTACCAGGAAATGTTGTGGGCATATGTCTTCAAGCACTGAACCAAGTGATCCAACCTTTGGTTTTGTCACACGTATTGTCCAGTTTGGTTTTCTGCAACTAAGAATGATTCTATTGAACAAGTCAAAAGTATCCAAGGAATGTTAAACTCAAGGGGAACTGGACTTGGTTTAAGATCCTCAAAGATGTTTCCATCTGAGACTTCTTCATTTCTGGCTGACTGGCAGGGAAACCCAGCTATTTAACCTCTGTGGGGTCCTTATCAAGGTGATCGATACCGCTTGGTTCGTTAGTGCTCGTTATGGTTATTGGAGATGTTGTAAATCTAAAATATCACAAAGCCACCAGATTAGCTCTCCATTGTTCAATGCATACAAGTGCTTCCAAATGCAGGCTAATCTCTCCTGTCTTAATTTAGAAATTACAATCTAGTCTTCTGATCCTCTTCAGGAATTTTTAATAGGACGAGAAACCGCAGTATTTTACTGACCAAGCAGAATACATCAGTATCTAACGTAATTATCTGCAGAGACAGACCAGTCACCTCTTATCAACTAGACCAAGGACAAGTACTTTATGCATTTAACTGAGAGAATGAACAGGAAATGATTAGTTTCACTTGCTGATTGTTTGTTGTGTTTAATGGTTTGATGATGGACTTTAAGTAAAGTATATAATTACTTGTTATACTGTGTGATTTCTGTGTTAGACCCCAGGAAGACAAGCTGACATCATGGGGTTAGCTAATGGGCTTCCTAAAACTAACTACCTTACTAGACTAGTTAACTAGACTGGCTCCTCCTTTTTTCTTTAACAGATTTAACACGGTTAAGGATGCCAGAGCTGCAAACTTTTCTAACCTCGTATCAAATCCTAAAATCTAGTTCGACAGCATCAGGAACATTGTCTCTCCTACATCACCTGCTGTTCAAACTTCTTCAGATGTTGAGTTCAACAACTTTCCGTTCTTCTTTGTTAGTAAATAAGTAAATGACATATGAGCAACCTTTAAGCTACTTTTTATAGCTAAGGTCATAGAAAACCATCTTGGATATGTTTCAACGGGAACAGCTCTTCAAATGATCTGGTGATGCAGGAGAATGTTCTATATTGGTATTACTAGATCACAGTGCTGGTTAGGTGTTAGCATGAAGCTTGGGTAGCTCAGTCAGTAGAGCATCAGCCTTTTAATCTGGGGGTCCAGGATTCAAGTCCCTGTTCAGGCATCCTTTTTTTTGGGCCTGCTGTCGTCATCCTTCTCGGATAGAATTACGGTGCATTTTGAGAACTTGCAGACGTCCTGCAAACATGAATGTATCCGGCTCATTTTGTTGCATATGGCCACCTCTCTGCAGTCCAGATCTACATCTGTCCAGGCTACATGCAATTCAGGGTCGACCCTTCGCAGTCTGGAATAAGGTGGTAATGGACCTAGAGCTCATTGTTAACTGTCAAAAGAGCCAGAACAACAAGTTCTGCACTTACGCAGTGTTATGGTACCCATACCAGTTTAGTTCCACCACAAAAACAAGTCTTATAGTCGGACTTTGATGAACATGTCAGACTGTGCTATGACTGCCTGGTGAAGTAACGATTGTAAATGTCTTTTGTACTAACTGCCAAGAAAGTGCACTATTGGTGTATTAGTATGTAAATTGGGATTAGGAGTTAGCGAGACTGTTTCATCGAGAGCGCTGCTTTTTGAAGCCTGGGTAGCTCAGTCGGTAGAGCATCAGACTTTTAATCTGAGGGTCCAGGGTTCAAGTCCCTGTTCAGGTGACTCGTTTATCTCCAGCTTCTGTACAATTGCTCTTCAATGCACCTTATTTTAATGGGTTAAATGCAGAGTATTTATTTTATTATATATAACGTTGAGTATTATTATTATTGATACTGTGGACCACCGTATATTGGTTGAGAAGCTCAGGCAGTGGGTGGTTTTTCTCTGGATCAACTGGTTCTCCTACTTCCTGTCAGACACGACTTTCTCAGTTGCAGTTCAAAACTATGACTCGTCAACTATGATCTCTTTTTTGTGGTGTTCCCCAAGATGGTGTCCTGGGGCCGACGCCTTCTCTTCCTCAAAATGTTTCAAAACTGTCTGTTCTACTGAATGATTAAAGATTGGACGGCAGTAAAAAAATTTCTTCAGCTAAATGCTGACAAAGTCTTTGCTCGTTATCCTCTTCTGCTGAACCCACCCTCTGTACTCTAGGTCTTTTTAAGGGCCAGGCTTTGAGTCTTGACCAGCATGTAAATAGTTTGGTTCACTCCTGTTTCTACCAGCTGAGGAACATCGCTAAACTTAGCTGAGATGGAATTGATTATGCATGCGTTTATTTCTGTTTATTCCTTTTTCACCTGCCTTAACAAGACTTCCATGAGCTGTCTTGTTAAAACTTTAAGACCATGACTCGCTCCTTAATTTAAACAGTAAGATCAAATATTTGATAAATGCATTAATTAATTCTGTCCACATGTGCAGCAACACCAGATCAATCTATTAATTAATGGCTCAATTGCTGGATTATAATGTTATTTTTAATGGATTATCTGCACAGTTTTTTAAGGGATAAAAACATCTTAAAATGAATGCCAAAAAAACTCACGCTTAAAATTCCATTAAAAAATAACTTAAACCATTATGAATAATTAATTCAATGGTTAATTTTCTATGTACAAATGTCATTAAAAAGTAAAGGCCCATTAGGATAGAAATGGATCTGATGGTACAGAATATTTATTATAAGACCTTTTTAAAAAACACATTAAAATCCCCTTAATCTGTACAAATATTCCATTAAATATATAAATGTATTCATTTGCTGCAATCAGTTCATTTATCCTTTAATTATCCATTCAAACAACATTAAGAAAACGTTAATTACACCATTTCAAACAGTAAATGAAAGTTGCAGGATTCAGTTTGGAAACCACTGATGTCTGAAACCCGAGGGTCCCAAAATAAATCTGAAGTGTCACAAGATGATTAAAAGACCTTTATCAGATCTGTCCACATACTTTTGTCCACACCATATTAAATCATGCAGTTGTGTCTCCTCACAGAAAGAAGCTGCAGAAACAAACAGAGACAATGAAGAGGTTGAATCCTGCAGCTGAGTTTGATGAGCGAGACACAGGAGGTCAGGACCCCTTTATTGTGAAAAGACAGCACTTCCTGCCACTCAGAAGATCAGAGGCTGAACTTGTAGTTCGGATCCTGATGCTTTTCTATGGAATCTAATAATAATAATAATAATAATACAAAATGAATGAGCAACTGAAGACTCGTAATCACCGAATGCTAAAATTTGAAATTTAAATACCACATAAAATGTTTCTCCAGGTTCCCCTCTTTAAAATCTAGATTTCAAACTGTGACATTTCAAAACACTGATAAGAAGGATGCTTTTAGGGACAAAGTAAAGTTTCACATGACCGATAGACGGAGGTCTGATGGATGGATTATTCTGTTTCTTCAAATGTGATATTTTCACCTTGAATCGTCTGGAGTTGTAAACCCTAAAAAACGACATTATGGTTTAATAAATAAAACAAAAGTTGTTGGAATGTCAAAACCTACTGGAAGTGACCGAATGGAGACTTCAAAGAGTAAAAACACCCGAGTCCTTTAAACTGACCGCAGTCAGTCAAAACTCAGATCAAACTGATCCTAAACCAGCTGCGGCAGGTCTGGCTCCAGAACGTCCATCAGACTAATATTTCATCACCTCGTCTCTCTGAAATATTAAACGCTGTCTGAACGAGACTGAGGCAGAAGAGAATGAATGAATGATAATAAATAAATAAATGAGTGAGGAGGCTTGAAAGCACAGACGGAGCTGCAGCTCAGAGGATCACATTTACATTAAAAGTCAGAAAAAGTCAGCCAGACCGACCCTGTTCCTGCAGTCCTGAGGAGTCTGAAACCGCCTGAAGATCGACAGAAACACACAGCTGTTTGGTTCCTGTGTCTGTATCCGCCCAATCAGGACGAGCCGTGTAAACAGGTTTACAGAGACGTCACAGGTGGTCAGGTGTAGCGCAGGTGACGGAGCGACAGGTGAGGCCCTGCAGGATGAGCGACCGTGAGGAACAAAGAAAACTGGGCTCTTATTTTGGTAGTTCTGTCCATCATTCCTGCTCCTCACAGGTGTGAATCCGGGGTTCACTTTCAAAACGTTTTGCTACGGTTTCCGGTTTGAGGTGCGTTTGGTGAGTGTGTTAGAGGTGTTACCCAATCAGCAGCGACGTGAATATAAACCCCGCCGTATTAAAAAGGCCTGCGGAACACAACAGGATGCAAGGCAGCGCCGTTTCCATTTCAATAAACGCTTCGTCAAACACAAACGGACTCTTTCTGCTTTCATTTTAACCTGCTACAGCTGGTAATACTGCAGGAATACTTTCACCCACAGTACTTCAGGTACTTTAGCACCGACTGCTACTATCATGTACTACATCATGGTAACTACTCTGAACTCCATACAGTAGTGACCCCTTGTGATGCCGTAGCAACAATCCTCCACAGCCACCTGCAAGGTTCTCAGTCATCCAGGTCATAGTTGTCCAAAGAAGTTTAGTCAAGTGCAACTGGACTTGGTTCAAGAGACTAGAAGACTTCTGAAGAGTTCTGAAATGACGCTCAAGGAGAGGAGGGGGTCTACGCCACCACTTATCCCCCACTTACAATGCTGTCCTTTCATCACTTCCCAGGAAACTCAACAAACGTAACCTATTGGCCTCAGGTGAAGATACCAACGATGGTCATTCAGTATTGGCCACAGGTAGTCTTAACGACCGTAACGACTGTCGTCACAGCAACAAGGAACACTAACGAACCAGCGGTATCGATGACCTGGGATAACGACCCCACTGAGGTTAAATAGCTGAGTTTCCCTGCCAGTCAGTCAGAACTGAAGAAGTCCTTTGGATGAGGGACGAAACGTCTTCCAGTATCTTCAACCAAGTCCAGTTGCCCTGGACTTCAACCTTCTTTGGTTAGCAGTAAAACGTTAGCATCTACTGCAACCACCGTGAACAACAGAGCAACCACCTGGCAGCAGTGTAGCAACCAGAGGTGAAACCAAGTCATTAAGTCTCGAGTCTTAGCGCTCAAGTCCCAAGTCAAGTCCTGAGGTGAGACAGGCAAATCCGAGTCAAGTCCTAAGCTTTGAGTCCTAAACAAGTTATATATGCTCTTCGCCAACTTTAACACCATTTCATATACAAGGGTTAAACATGAAAAAAGCTTTATTGAGTAAAACGTTAACCTGTACAGTAAAAAGGACGAGCAGCAGTTTCACACAACAAATGTTGTATAATTTCATGAATTAACTGAAGTGTTGATGGGCTTGGGGAGGGTATTAAATCAGTTTGAGTCAAAAAGACTCAAGTCCAAGTGAAGTCACGAGTCGTAGGTGTCAAAGACAAAGTCAGGGTGCAAATCTTTCTAGATTTTGTCAAGTCGAGGCTCAAGTCATCATATTTGTGACTCGAGTCCAAGTCATGTGACTCGAGTCAGCACCTCTGGAAGCAGCTATCTTAAAGAACATATTTATCAGCTTGTAACACCAAAGCAGTAACCACCTACCGATGCCTTACCAACTGCCCTGACAGCTACAGCAACCACCGGTAAAAACACTTTGAAAGGTACCGTACGCACTTTTTCAACATCATAGTTCTTGGTTCAAATCCAACACGCCGCCCCCCCGTCTCTCTCTCCCTCACTTCCTGTTTCCTATAACCCAAAACAACAAAAAACATCATCGTTCGCTCAAGTTTTACTGCGTACGGAGGAATATAACACAGATGAATCACTTTCAACCTGTCTGGCCAATCACGTTGCAGCTTTTCTCCACAGCGACGACCCAGTTACGCTGGTCTGAGCCCGGGAGGCGAGACTGAGCCAGCGCTGGGCCGAGGTGAGCGAAGCTGCTGAGTCACATGACACAACTACAAAAATAAGAGCCTGTTCAGAAACAAACGCACTGAACCTCTAACAGTCGGCTGTTTCCTGCTGTGGTGTTGATCTCCCGATGGTCCACCTGTCCCACCGGGTGAGTCCTCGTCTCTCAGGTGTCTTTCTGTCTCAGTCCTCAGTCCTTCAGGTGAATCTGACTGTCCACAGCACGGAAGCCTTCCGGTCCAACAAACTGGAACCAGTTTAACCAGTTGAAGTTGGACGTGCTGCCAGGTCAAACTTCTTCTGGGTTTTATGTTTGGCTTCTTCAGAATTACAGGAAGTCCTCGGTTTACAGAGACTGATATGAACATTAAACTCTGGTTTAACTAGCAAACAGTCCAAGTGTGAAAAGGTGTTCAGTGTTGCATGTAATAAAGGATCATTCCTGCCCGTTTAAACCTGTGTCCACACATGTTGCTGTTGGAATGACCGGCAGCTGAACCGGCTGAATTCTCGTTCTGAAATTGTTGCAGGAAGACGCCAGTTTGAAACGAGGGAGGTTTCCAACGTCGTCTTCCTGCAACAACTCGCCTCTCGTGAAGGAGAATGTAGAAACTTTTTGTGCTTACTAGTCATTTCTACACCAACACGTGTGAAAAAGGGCCCAAGGTTAAAAATACCGAAACGATCCTTCAGGTGTTTTAACAGAACAGGATGTTCAGGTCGCACCACGAATAAAAAACATTCTGTTTCATAATGAAATGTTATGAACAAAACAATCAAACATGCTGAACCCTTTGTAACAGACTGAGAGAAAAAGATATTGGTTTTAAAGTTTTATCTTTTGCAATTAGTTTGATTCCCCTGCTCTACTAAACTCACCTGAACGTGACCCCAAAACCAAAACAGAATTCTTACTGACTGTCTCTGGTTCTTTTTCTGTCACCATTCAATAATGACAACAAAGTTTTTTGCTGGCTCAGTTTAGTTTGGCTGCATGTAAACAACAGTGAGCTTCTGAATGTCTGAGCTTCACCTGGACACACAGAGACAGGACTTCCTGTCTGAGACACAAAAAGCTCCTGATTTTCATAATAAAAGCCCAGTGTATTGTTTTATTTTGACATGACTCTCTACACATGGTTGTTGTTGGTCGTGTGTGTGTGGGTGTGGGTGTGTGTGTGTGTGGGGGGGGGGCATGGGATCTTCATGATGTCATCAGAGCCCTGGACAGGGATTGGTCAGCTGCTACCTGAGAAGACAGAACAGAAACATCAGGGGTAGCGCTCAGATCCTGATCACACTCAGCCCATGCTGCCGTCGGTCAGTCACCTATAATGTATGCTGATTGGATGAGGTGCGGTGAAGTCATCCTGGTTGATGAACAACAGAACAAGCGACGGTCAGTTTGTATTAACATTTACTGTGAGTAAAGGGCTGAGACGGAGACTCGGGTCTGCAGGGTCAGTGAGGGGAGTCGCTTCCTGCCTGCGTTAATCTGGTCCAGCTGGTTTCACTCTGATGGCATTAATGTTCAGCTGCAGGCGGATTGTCTCTTTAACAGCTCTGATTATTAATTAAAACACACAGAGACAGAGCTCTGTTCACCCAGTCATATATGAATGAGCAGTGGATAAACTCAGGCGGGGGATGGGGGTGGTGGGGTTTTGTCTTTTAGTTGTTGTTCACAAATCCTCAAAAATGGACGCTTGGTCAAGACCCCTTGGCGTTGCTTTTTAATGCCCTGGGTACCCTTTTTTTTAAACCTGTCCTGCCCAGCAGCCTGGTATAGAGTATAATGACCTGGATACCATATTGTGCCACACAGATTTTACTTTAACAAGAGAGTATTAAAATACTCCTTTGTCTGTTTTATTATTTATTTAATTATGTATTGATTTGTCACCGGGCCGGACAGGGGGGCAGACACGGGGATGGGGGGGCACAAACAGACAGCACAGAGAAAGGACAACACCTGCAAGAGAAGGGGGATGGAAGGTGGGGACAACAGGGAAAAGCTGTGGGAAACACCAATTGCAGAAAGCAACGAAACCTGCAATAGAACAGAGAGGGGGGCTTGGGGAGGAGAAAAACAACAACAAACAAACACAAACAAAAAAAACAATGTATGTGGCAATGTATGCGGCGCGGACACAACATAGACCAGTGGCCCCCCCCATCCAGCACCCCACCGCCGCGCAGCAAACAACCACAATGCCCAAATGCCACGCAATCATCAACACCAATGCACAAGTGACGAGCCCAACGCGCGCACTGCGCGAGCACGGCGACACCCAATGCCCAGCAGCCCCCCGCGAATCCCGCGTGCGAGGTCGGGCAAACGAGAGAGAGCAAACGGAACAACACGACAGCGAAAGCCAGCGGAGAGAAACACCAGCAGCAAGTCCCAGCCCGGCAGCAAACGCGCCGCACAGGTCACCGTGCACCCGCCAATAAAAGTCCACCGTCCCCCCAACCGCCGGAAAAAACTAAGGCTGCCGGCGTCAGCCGACATCCCCCATGCCCAGCGCGCCCCCCGGCCGCCATGCAACACCAGCCAAACCAGCAACGAGGCAAAATCAACTAGCTCAGCTGCATGCCACCAACAACCCACCCATCCATCAAGGGCCGAGAACTCCAGGCACAAACCCAGAACAAACCGGAGCACAGCCCTGCCCCGCACCCACACTGCACATCCCGAAAACTAACTATATACCTCAGTATCCAGAGGGGTCCAACAACTGGCCGACAGAGAAATGGGGAAGCACGGATCCGAGGCCAATGAAGCAAAACAGGGACGCAAACAGGTCCCTCCAAGCCAACGAGGAGATGCCTCCCCCGGACTCCAATGCACAAACTAAACACCCAGCAACCATTCAGAGACCCTGCCCAGGGAAAAAGCATAATGCATCAAGATGCATCGACAATCGCCCCACAATCCCACCGCAGCCCACCAAACCGCAATCGGATCAACCCGCGCAGAGACCCCCACCCCCAGAAGCCAGGACACCCTGCGACCCCCCAAAGCGCAAAGGACCCCAGACCGCATGTCCAGGGAGAAGCTGTACCCCGCCCCAAGGAAGAACAGCAGAAAGCCGTGCCGGGAAGCTCGCTACCGCCAGGGAGCGATAACACGGGAGAACCAGGCAAACGGTCCCCCAGCCCAGCCAGAGGCATCCCTGGGTACCCTTTAAAACCTCTTGAGCGCAGACGCCTCCGGTACAAGGGGCAGCACGCGATTTTCATGCAAAATGCAAATGGAAAAATCATGTCTGAAACTGCTGTTGCATCACCCTATCCGTGGTCCACACCTCTGTGAAGCTAGAAGGCTCAGCTAGAACGTCAAACTTGGTGGTATCCAATATACCAAACGACTCGTCTGCTTGAGACGAAGAGATGGAGGCCACTTCCAGCGCAGTAGGATGTTCTGTTCTCAAGGTGTGGGATGGAAAGCACGGGAGTGCTTTAGGTTACGGGAATATTGACTATTTTTTATCAATATTTCAATGTTCTGGAAGCTTTATGTTATTTGGAACGTGTTTGTGTGGAGAGAAATAATGTTTTGAAGAAAACTCCCAATAGAAACCAAAACATGGACATTTGGCTTAAATATTTTGTAAAAACATTGTATGAAAACAGTTATTTTTATCAGACTTACAGTTACAGTTGTATTCCCGTGTTTAAAAGATATTCAATTGCATTATAATCTATCTTATGATGGTTTTGATGGTTTATTGCATTAAAATACAGCTTTTTTTTTTTTTTTACCAGGTATCTGCATTTACTCTTCAATAGAAAAATAAATAGGTTCATTCATATTCCTTAGCTTCTGATCTTTCAGAGGAGACCAGAATTATGCGTCTAGGCCTGATGGTTGAGGAGTTATTACTGATTTATTTTAGGTTTGTTATTTATATCAGGGTTTGAAGCCACGACCTTCTTGCTGTGAGGTGCTAACCACTGCACCACTGCGCCGCCCTGGTGTGTAAATGATATCCAATAATTCACTGTTATCCCATCTGATGCAAATTCTTCATTTTGGGATGATTATGCATTTTGAATGCAGTGTTTCATTCTGAAGGACATTTGAGGCATTTTGCATTTTGTGTGCAGAGTTTTGAAAAAAGGTTTTGAAAACATGTGGAAGCAGTTGTAAAAAAACTGTAAAGTTGTGTTATGTCGTTATTTGGTTTGGTTTAGGCAACAAAATGTCTTGGTTAGGTTCAGGAAAAGATCATGGTTTGGATTTCAATAAGTACGTTATGTAAATTACGCAACCTCTTCACCATCTACCGACTTCAGCCACCACACAGAGTCCTGCCGTCTTCAGAGGTTTTCTGATGACTCTGCTGTGGTTGGATGTATCAGCAGGGTGGCGAGGCAGAGGACAGAGCTGTGGGGGGGGGACTGTGAGCAGAACCACCTGCAGCTCGATGTGACAGAGACTAAGGAGCTGATTGTGGATCTTAAGAGAGCCAAGGCACCAGGGACCCTGTTTCCATCCAGGGGGGTCAGTGTTTGTGGAGGACTACAAATACCACATGGACAATAAACTGGACTGGGCCAAGAACACAAGGCCGTCTCTATTTTCTGAGGAGGCTGAGGTCCTTCAACAACTCTAAGTTTCTGACACACGGGCACTTAGTTATTATCTGTATTGTGCAATATTCTCTGCTGCTATTTATTCACTTGTACTTTTTCTTTAATAATGTAAATATTGAACACTCTTTTATATTTTTTTCTTTGTATTTTAAATTTATATGCTTATATTTACATATTTCTTTATCCACCTACTTTTTATTATTGTTCCTGTTCCTTATGCCTTGGTAAGTGTGCAACTGTGACAAAAGAATTTCCCCTCAGGGATCAATAAAGTTTCTGATTCTGATTAAATAAAAACACATAATGTTGACTTTTTGTTTCACTGGGGAAACTTCTGGTTTTGTGGTTGAAAGTTCGGTTTTTGGCCCTCCAACCACCTCCTTACTCTGACTTTTCTGTTTAATATCATATTCCTGCCTTTACCCTCCAAGAGAGACGCTACATCCCCAGTGGATTGAACTGTGACACTACGGGGCTCCCCAGTGCGTTACAAAATGATGTGACGAGTTGGGAGTGAGACCGGGACCTGGATGACTGAAAATCTTCACAGAGTTCTCAGCTTTTACACATTTTGATGTGAGCCTGTGCTGTAAAGACACAAATACAGTTTATTAATTAAAAAGTCATCAGGTCTCTTTCAGTGAAACTAAACATGATTTGAAGTGAGTTAGTTCATTAATTATGCAGCAGGTCACATCATATTTACCGTCATCATTATTATGCTCTTACTAGTTTTTACTGTCAGCTGTGGATCTCGTGCTGTTCGAGCTGCTCTGTTGATGTTGTTCCTCAAACGTAAGTCGCTTTGGATAAAAGTGTCTGCCAAATGAGTAAATGTAAATTTAATGGAAAAACTAATTTCTTTATAATATAAATATAAACAGAGGAAGTCGTTCACTGGTCGCGTCTTGTGTGAGGGCTGAGATCTGATTGGCGGAGAGTCAGTCAGGTCTGGCCCTGTTAACCTCCTCTGCTCAGGTTTACTCTCCACTCTGTTGTCCGTGTGTCAGGGTGATAATGTGGTTGATGGTTCTGTTCCCCGAGGAGAAGAAGAAATATTAACCCGAGCTCGCCTCAGTTTGTGTCAATGAACAGAAGCGTCACCCTGCAGCGTTGGTGCCTTGCTCCTGAGCACACAGCTGTTAACGTCAACATGAATCTTTCACAAGCAGCTGAAATATTCAGCAGCTCCTCCAGAAATATCTGCAGCAGCTTCCAAACGTCTCCAGGTATCATCTCCATCCTGCTCAACACACACGTGTCAGCTCCACCCACTGACCACATAAGCGACCATATACGGACATAAACCCCGCCCCCTGTGTATCAATAGTATGACTGCACAGACAATGATGTCTGATGATGTTTACATACTTCTAAGACAGAGAGGGATTTCTATTTATCCGCCAGCTCGTCTTCCTCCCAGGGCATGCTGGGAGTTGTAGTTGTATATAATCTACATCTTTATTATAACGTGTGACAACAGAGTTATTATGACTAAAATCATGTAACAGTGATGTTTTAACCCGTGTTCATCCACGAGGCAGCCCAAAGTGCTTTACAACACAATACAATCACAGACATGCAAGTGCCAAATATAAATATGCATATCATCAAGTTTTAACAATTATACAAAGAACCGGTGCAAGATACACACTACCAGTCGAAAGTTTTACAACACCCCGTTTTTTTTAGTTCGTATTGAAATCTAAGTAGTTCAAGTTCAAAATTAAAAATGTTTACGTCGCCAAAACAGATGTTTTCAGATATTTATAACACTTAAATGAAGGAGTTTTGTTAATTATATCACTGTAGGCTCTACCGGTGACCAGCTGCTCTCTCTTCCTTCACTTCCTCAGCTTCTGGGGACGTAGTAACAGGCTGCTCCGAGGTGTAGAAATTTGTTTTTGCATCAACTTTCAAGCTTCATTTCCTCCCACTTGAATTTATTAACTCATGACTTGATCCCTGAAAAATGATCTTCTTAGTTATTCTGCAGCAGTGGAATTAAATGAAGAATTGTCTTAACGAATCCACGGTCCTTGGAAATTAAAAAACGGCTCCAATTTGGAACCAGTTCTCGATACCCAACTCTAAATATAGTCTATTTTTTTTTAGGTCTGGTATTTCCTTGCCACTGTGGCCAAGTGTTTGCTCATGGTGGGAAATTTTGGGTCTCGGTCTTGACCTGCTCTATCTGAAAAGTGCAAGATAACTTCTGTGATTGGTGCTAGAAAATAAAATCCATTAATTAATTAAATAAGAAGTTGTAGAGATATTACAGTCCGAACCAAAGTGGTGAACAGTGCTAACATTGCTAACATTGCTAACATTGCAAACAGTGCTAACAGTGCTAACAATGCTAACATTACTAACATTGCTAACAGTGCTAACATTGCTAACATTGCAAACAGTGCTAACAATGCTAACATTACTAACATTGCTAACAGTGCTAACATTGCTAACATTGCTAACATTGCAAACAGTGCTAACAATGCTAACATTACTAACATTGCTAACAGTGCTAACATTGCTAACATTGCAAACAGTGCTAACAATGCTAACATTACTAACATTGCTAACAGTGCTAACATTGCTAAAAGTGCTAACATTACTAACATTACTAACAGTGCTAACAGTGCTAACAGTGCTAACATTGCTCAAGATGCAACAAAACATAAAATAAATAAACTTTTGTTTGTTGTTGTTGTAGATAACATGAAGGTTTTTACATCAGTTTTACTTGTTAAACTGTGTATGTTGGTGTATACTGTGGTGTGTAGTTTCAGTACCTGCACTTTGTAGTATTACTGCAGAATTACTGCGGTGTTACTGCGATCTGTCAGGTTCAATCTTTGTCTCTCCGTTCTGTTTCTCATTTGACGATTTTTGAGATACTCTGGCAGCCTGGACAACAGCCTGCAAAACACACAACAACAACAACACAGCAACCATCAGGCAACACAGCACAGCAACCATCAGGTAAAACAACACAGCAACCGTCAGGCAACACAACACAGCAACCGTCAGACAACACAGCACAGCAACCATCAGGCAACACAACACAGCAACCATCAGGCAACACGACACAGCAACCACTAGGCAACACAGCAACACAACACCGCAACCATCAGGCAACACAACAACAGCAACCATCAGGCAACACAGCACAGCAACCATCAGGCAACACAGCACAGCAACCATCAGGTAAAACAACACAGCAACCATCAGGCAAAACAACAACACAACAATAATCAGAACAAGCAACACAACAACAGCAATCATCAGGCAAAACAACACAGCAACCATCAGGCAACACAACACAGCAACCATCAGGCAACACAGCAACACAACACAGCAACCATCAGGCAACACAGCGCAGAAACCTTCAGGCAACTACAATAATCAGAACAAGCAACACAACAACAGCAACCATCAGGCAACAGAGCAACCATTAGGCAACACAACAAAGCAACCATCAAGCAACACAACACAGCATCCATCAGGCAACACATCAACAGAGCAACCCTCAGGGACTCCATGAGGTTCAGACCTTGAAGCTTCTCTTCCTCTTCTGGACGTTCTGCTCGGGGTGGAAGATGATGACGTAAACTTTGGGCATGTAGAGCATTCCGAGAGAGACGAACGCACTGAGAGACATGGAGACCGTCAGCGTGGCCGTCTGGATGAACATCTGCAGAGACACAGAGACACGTTCACTGAGCGAGAACCTCCTAAAATACCACTAGAACCTTTTTTACCACTAGAATTCCAGAGCTGCATTGGTGCTCCAGCAGCATGCAACACTGGGGACTGCAGATGTAAATTAGCCTAAGGCTAACTCTGGTGTAATGCATCAGATGTTTACATTTATGTTATTAATTGCACATGGTCCCTTCTAAATAAAAATCAATCAATCAATCTAGTTTCCTCAGTGACCACTAGAACCTCCCAAAGGACCCTGAGAACTAACTACAAGTCTCCAAGAACCTCCTCACTGAAGACGAGAACTATCCTGTTCCCTCAGGAACACACTGATGGTTTTTTAACTTGTTTTTTTTTGCCAGAACATTAAAGATTTTCTCATTTGCTTTGACCATTCAGGCTGAAACTGTAGCTCCCTGGCCAAAAAGACTCAACACTCACCCACCACAGAACACAACTGGGGGTCAAATTAATATATTCTGTCTGTATTCAGTCACTACACCAGGTCAATGTCACTTCACTCTCCTCGTTTACTGCTCTCACGGAGAGCGAGCTATCAGGACTCCTGACCCGTAGCCACCCCACTACAGGCCCACTGGACCCGATTCCTCCAAGCCATATCTCCTACCGTGGTCCCAGCAATCACTCATGTGATAAATACTTCTCTGGCTTCAGGAACCTTCCCGACCACTTTCAAAAGGGCTCGGGTTACACCCACGCTCAACAAGCCCTCAACCCAACTCAAGTTGAGAACTATCGGCCAGTTTCACCACTGCCATTTTTATCCAATGCTATTGAACGGGCAGTCTTCAGACAGAATTCCTCTCACGGAATGACCTCCTAGATCCATATCAGTCTGGTTTTAAGAGTGGCCACTCGACTGAAACGTCTCTGTTGTCTGTACCAGAAGCCCTAAGGTCAGCTACAGCTGCAGCCCGGTCCTCGGTTCTTATCATCTGCCTTTGACACAGTCAATCACAGGATCCTGCTATCCGCACTCTCAGCAATGGGGTTCTCGAGTAAAGCACTCCTGTGGTTCGAATCCTACAACGTTTTGTGGCAAGGACAATTATCCTCCTCCCGCTGCCTCTCCACAGGGGTGCCCCAAGGCTCAGTGCTAGGGCCCCTTCTCTTCTCAGTTTACACCACCTCACTGGGGCCGATCATTTGCTCGCACGACTTCTCTTACCACTGCTACGCAGACGACACGCAACTCTACCTATCCTTCCCGCCAGACGACCACAGCGTCTGGGTACGGATCACAGACTGTCACTCAAACATATCTGCATGGATGAAGGCTCGCCACCTTCAACTAAACCTCTCTAAGACTGAACTCTTGGTCATTCCAGCCAAGCAATTGTTAGGTGGCTGCAAACACAGACAACTTCAGAATAAAACAGGAAGTACACGGGAATACACAAGGCAAAGGACTAAATAAAACTTAAAACAGAACACAAAACCAAACTTATGAAAGCAGACTAAACAGGAAAACATGAACACTAAACCACATTCCTAACAGCAATCTATCCACCATAACATCAACATCACCATAACATCAAACTACAAACTGGCTCCTCAACCACGTTCCTTCTGGGCCACTGAGCTCCTCCAGCGAACGCCGCCTGGCTCTGCCATCCCTTCACACAAAGCGACCTCAGTCCCTGTTCTCATCTGTGACTCCACGATGGTGGAACGAGCTGCCGCACGCCATCAGAGCAGCGGCGTCCCTCCCTGACTTCAAGAAACTCCTGAACACAGAGAACAATTCCTCTGATAACACCTCGAACCCCCTAACTTGTAACATGCACTTCCTGTGCTCTTCTCTTGTATTGATTGCATATTTGCTAACGAGCATCAATCAAAACTCTTCACGCAGTCAGTGAAACAGAAGTGTATGTGGACCAAATTGTGAATCATTTTTCATTCCTTTCATACAAAATGCGTTCAGTGACCACTTTCTCCAAAATCCATGAACTCGTCTCTCATCACTGCTCCACCACCTGCAGAACACTTCAATTTAATTCACATTAGCTTTACTGGCATGAATGTGTAACAACAACATTGCCAAAGCATCATACAAACTACATAAGAACAATCAACCCCATACATTTCATTAAACAAGTAATTAAATATTTTAAAATGTTATAATGAAATAAATAAATAAAACAATAAGCGTGTGTGTGTTAAAAAAATTAAAATATTTTAAAATGTTAAAATAAAATAAATAAATAAAACAATAAGCGTGTGTGTGTGTTAAAAAAATTAAAATATTTTAAAATGTTAATAAAAAAATTAAAACAATAAGCGTGTGTGTGTGTTAAAAAAAATAAAAATATTATAAAACGTTTAAATAAAATAAATAAATGTAACAGTAAGTGTGTGTGTGTGTGTGTGTGTGTGTGTGTGTGTTAAAAAAATAAAAATGTTTTAAATGTTTAAATAAAATAAATAAATAAAACAGTAAGCGTGTGTGTGTATGTGTGTTAAATTTTTTTTAAATATTTTAAAATGTTAAAATAAAATAAATAAATAAAACAGTAAGTGTGTGTGTGTATGTGTGTGTTAAAAAAAATAAAAATATATATAAAATTTAAATAAAATAAATAAATGAAACAGTAACTTTATATCTCCAGCACACTGTGTCACATTCAAAGACAGAAATACTTAAACTTTATGTTCACATAGTTTACGTCTCTGTGTGTAGAGAACTGTGTATAGTGTTTTGTGCAACTGCAGTCTGAGTGTAAAGCAGGAAATGTGTTTCTATTTAGGCAGATTTCTTTCAGCGGGTTGGTTCATGAATTTCAGGCTGTGGTCTTTGTGTCTCAGTTCCAGTGTTACTGTGGAAACAACTCAGAAAAACGGGACTGCAGTTCAGAGAAAAGAGTTCATGGATTTTGGAGAATGTGGTAATTAAATGCATTTTGTGTGAAATGAATGAAAAATGATTCACATTTTCTCTGACTGTGTGAAGAGGTTTTGACAATGTGGCTTCAGTTTGATGCATGTTAGCAACCAGAAAAAAACGGTATTTTCTGCAAAGATGATTTTACCAGAGATAACAAAGCCTGCTGCACCTCTGCACCTGCACTGTTCACACTTTTTTGAGATGTCCTGTTACTACTTACAGTAATATTCAGTATTGTTCACTCAAGTCAGCACAGGGTGAGCTCAATTAGCACACAGCTACCCAGGTGGAAACACAAACAGTCCCAAATCAGAAACTTCAACAGAGCCGGAGTCAGTTCATTCAGTTTGGAAACAATGGATCCAGAGAAATCTGAAGGAAGACAGAGAAGACCAGAGAGGAGGAGGAGGAAGAGGTGAAGGAAGAACAGTAGGAGTTGGAGGAAGAGATGGGATAGAAGTAAGATGAGCAGGAGCAGGAGGTGGAGAACAAAAATCTCTGGCCTGTCCCAGACCAAAGACGGGACGCTGGGGCAGAATAATAAGAGGCGTGCGACCTGTAAGTCGCTTTGGATAAAAGCGTCAGCTAAATGAATAAATGTGTGTTTGAGGGCTTGTGTGTCCTGTCTGAAGGCAAAGTTTGGTTTTTCAGCAAGATTGGATGGTTTTGAGTGGAGAGCTTCATTTTGACCTGAAAATAGGATGTTTGGAGAACTGGGTGAGAAGTTGTGGATTTGTGTTTAGAGTTTTGAGAAAAAGAGGCACGATTTCAAGAAATGTGTTCAAGCCATAAAGAAAAACTGTAATACTGTAAAAAAAAAAAGAGGCATTTGAAAAAGACAGTTTTCTTCATTCATGTTATTCTTGTGTGCAGGTCTTTACGTTGCCCATGAACTGCACCCACATTTAACAAATTACTGTAGGATATTCATTATGGTCCAGCTTTCCTGCTGCATTCTTTCTTCACCAAAGAGTCATTAAAGAATTTCACCCAAAATCAGAAACTAAAACTGTCAATGCACTAGACTGGTCCCTCTGCCACGTCCTCTACATACTATAAAGACGGACGAGTACTGACTGCTGACTGAAGAGTTATGAAAGGAGTTTCACACAGGTGCATTAGAGATTCATAAGTCTGCAAGTAATTTCTATCAGCTGTGAAAACACGTTTTCCACATTTTGTTCAGTGCAATTAAGTATTTTATGGTCTTTCAATAACATCTGTGTTTAGTGTTTTGAAAAAGGGTGAAAATGTGTCTCACCAACACGTTCTCGCTCCCGACTCGTCACATCTTGACGTTTGGTGGAGAACCTTTGCCGTTGCTTTTTAACGCTCTCCTCAGCGTCATTTTTAGATGTCTAAGGCTCCGCGGTCAAGTAAGAAACACTTAGCAACAACGTCTGGTTAGATTTTCAAAATAAAACGCTAGCGCTTCGAAACATCCCCATTGAAACAGAACATTATTAAAGTTGTGAAATGTTGCAATTTGGTTGGATTCAGGCAACAAAACTAACGGTTCAAAGTCGGGGTTCTGGCCCTCCATGAACCCCGACCACCTCCTTACTCAGTCTTTCCTGTTAAATATCATGTACCTGCCATAAAAACTGACGCTACAGGGTTTCCCCCACTGCGTTGAGCGGTGACGCTACAGGGATGCTGATGGGTCTCATATGTGACGAGTCGAGGAGGGAGAACGGGTTGGTGAAACAAATGTAAAAGTGTTAACACATTTGCAAGAGAAGACGTCTGCTGTGTTAAGAAGGTGATAATGAAGATTACGTGGATCCCAGTTTTATTATGTCTTAGCCATCAAGAAATACTATAAGTGAACTCTTTGCTAGAACTAGCCCAGCAATTATGAGTACTTGGAACTTGTTCTATTGACATCCTTGGTCTACTGACAGCAATTTGTTGTTTATTCACTTTCCTATGTAGGCTGCTTGTGAGTCCCTTTGAACAAAAGCATCTGCTAAATGCCCTAAATGTAAAAATAAATGATTCAGGATCTGTAGGTCGGATTAAATCTATATTTAGGTCTGACATATTGTCTTGATGTTCCATAGATTTTTCTCTTAGTTTAATAGTTTGGCTGTTATGCACCAGTAACCTGTCAATAAATCTGATCCTGATCCTGATCACACACTGAAAGGTTTCTGCTTCTCACAGGAAACACGAGCAGCTCTTGGTGAGATGGATGTAAATAATCCAGAGAAACAGACAGTTTTGCATCTTTTCATTTCCAGGTCTGTTAATCTGTTTTCTTTTGTTTCCTCTCAGATGAATCTGTTTCCGTCTGACGCTGCTGTTTTCCTTCATGTTATTTCTGGCTTTTATTGTCTCTTTTTATCTGTCTGTTAAAGCTCTTTGTAACTTTGGTTTGAACAAATTTGTTGTTCTATAATGACGCCCTGTGTTGGTTTATAATCTGTATAATCCAGCTGTTCCCTTCTGCCTGGAAATGTTCCGCTTTGAGTTTAATTCTGCAGCCATTTATCTCTCAGCTGCATTAAAGACTCGCTCCTCCCTGAACTCACGCTGAACCACAAACACTGAAAACAGTTTATTCTTTTCTCCTCAGAGGAAACAAACTCTGTCTGAAGCCGTTTGACAGAACAATCTCACCATTCAGGAGCATTTCTGGAGATTTCAACTCTTCCACATTGAACGTCTTTAATTCATGAACTCGTCTTTGAAAAAAGAGTTTTGTTCAAACTCTCCAGAGTTTAAAGTTAAACTGCAGAAAACTGAGACTTTAATAAAACTATGATGTAGCTGCTTTCCTGTCCGTTTTTCCCCTCACCAGACCAGACCTCTACTAATCCATTTAATACCACACTATTAATAATTTCATCACCATCAAGCAAGATCCCAATACAAGAAGTATCTGCGCGAGTAAACCTTTAGGAATACTTTTCCCACGGTTTGTCTATTCTTTTATTTCTTTTGCTTTGCCTTGCACCCTGGCGGGTCTTAGCTGACGCCCTCCGCCTCTGGCTTTCCATGTAGGCACTTGGAAGGGCAGGAAGAGCCCAGAGCCATACCGCCAAACACAAGTACTGTGGCGCAAAATTTTACAGTTTATAAATATATAAATATATACAGTTTCTTTGATGGAAGTTGTCCTGACTGAATTATGAGAATGGGTGTTACTATTTAGGGTACCACATAACTCCTCCAGTTCACTGTAAATTTAATTGTATTGACACGGTGAGAACAGACAACTGGGCTGAATATATGGATTTTAATTGCATGAGAATTTGCTGGTATTAGAGAACCTAAATTACAGACGAAATAGTGAAATCTTAAGGTTTCACTATTACTGAAAAGCTTGCAGCCACTTAAACTAGGCCTTATACTGTGTTCACACTGAAAGCAAATCCAACGTTTTGGCAGCTTGATTACACACAAAGTCAATGCAAAGATGCGAATTCCTGCGAATTTGCTCCGGGCGGAGTGGAAGATGCTTTTGTTGCAACATTCACAAATTTTTCAACTTGACAATTTAAACAACACGGTGGAAATAAAATTCAATCTACTTCATCATTCAGCAAATATCAACTGAATAACTGTGATTGGTGTGTAGGAAGCTCTGAACGCTGTTGCTCATTTCACATGTCACAAAATCTGGTGTAACAGCGGCAACAGGCTGAAGCCTCGTAACACAAGTTCTTACTTTAACATGGACAGATGATCAATGTTTAAACAGGAACTAGTTGTTAACCCCCTTTGTCGTGAGGAGGACCAAGTTGTCAGAACAACGTCCAGATGATGAACAACTGGGTGTCTCTGCCAGTAAGTGAGTACATTTACATGCATATCAATATTCTGGATTTGATCTTATTCAGGATATGATGTTTACATGGAACAACAAACCTGATTATTCATCTCCCGGTTTATATAATCAGAATAGTATCCAGGCGTCTGATCGTCTGCTGCAGGTGAGTCTTTCTTTATCAACATGTCAGACACTCATTTGAGAGTGACTGAGTTTCCATGCAGGATTGAACTTCTCCACTGATTATCACTAACGGGAGGCAGCAGTGATAATACAATTTATGATCTGCACTACGGACTTTCCCATTATTTCATAATCATCATATTATTTACCATCGTATTGTTTGTTTTGCTGAATAACTACTTCACAACTTACGCTGAATACACACCTGTCAGCATGGCAGAATCAGAAACCTGGATTAGGTGATTACGGACCACAGTGACCTGGTTTCTATCGGAGCTAACACATTCAGGTTTCTCAAAACCAGGATATGATGTTTACATGGTCTAACATATCCAGGATATTCCATAAACCTGAGCATAACCAGGAAACATGCCCATGTACAGATGCTGTTCTTCACACATTCACTCCTGGCACCCACACCTCACCTGACACCTAGTCTAACCTGGTTTTAGCTCGTCCCTGTTTAGCCTGGTTGATCCTGGTTTGGCCTTACCTTCTCAGTGGACTGGGCGGTACCAAAGAAGATTGGCACGAAGGCGAGCCAGATGATGCAGGTGGTGTACATGGTGAAACCGATTGGTTTTGCTTCGTTAAACGTCTCTGGAACGCCACGACTCTTTACTGCGTACACCGTACATGTCACCTAACAAGAAGAATGATACAGGTTAGCTGCTCAGTCTGAATAATACAATGACAATCATGTTCTTAAAGGAAACAGGCGCATGCTTCACTGAATTAAAATCTTACAGTGCTTACGATAGCCTAGTTTAACTAATATCTGCAGTCTGTACATGACGATGAATCAAATTCATTACACCAGTTCATGGGTGCCCCGTACCACACAACCACTTTTGTAATCGGCTGTGATTCCTGGGGCTCTTTTACCAGAGAAGAGCTCAGGAACATCAGAGGAACAACGCCAGTGGATTTAGTTCCCACTTTTCTCGCGTCATCAGTGGAATTATTGGACATTTTGGTGAAGGGCTCTCTCGCTGTCGTTCGCAAAGTGAAGCTTTGCAGGAGAGGAAAACGAGCTGGGTCGCTCGTGCGTTTTTGCCGTAGGGGACTCCACACACCACTACCGGCAATATTTCTCTCCTGTGCTTGCTTTGCAACAAACTGATCTACCTGATTCCTGCTTACAGGCAAAAATTAAAGTTGTGTAAACCTGTAGTGAGGAAATCAAAGAAACGGACCAGTGAAGCTGTAGAGGATCTTCAGGCGTGTTTGGAAAAGGAGGAGGCATTTAGGAGTGGGGACCGAGCCGGGTGCAGGGCATTAAAGTACAGGTTTAGCAGGGAGGTGCGAGAAACTAAAGGACCAGTTCTCTGCAAACGACGCCACTTCTGTCTGGAGGGGGTTCAGACAGATCACAAACTACAAACCCAAAATCCCCGACTCCATTAATGACTCTCGCCTGGCAAATGAGCTGAACCAGTTCTACTGCCGCTTTGAGAGTCAATCGGACACCATCCCCTGTGACTCCTCCACTCAGCTTCAGCCACAGTCCACCACTTCTTCCCCTCCCTCCTCAGAGATGGCCAGCTCCACCCCCTCCCCTCCTCTCTCCATCACAGAGAAGGAAGTCAACGGTCTTCTCAGGTGGCAGAAACCGCGCAAAGCAGCGGGGCGGGACTCTGTCTCCCCATCCACCCTGAAGCACTGTGCTGATCAGCTGTCTCTGGTGTTCACAGACATTTTTAACACCTCACTGGAGACATGCCATGTGCCAGCCTGCTTCAAAGCCTCCACCATCATCCCTGTCCCCAAGAAACCAAGAACCACTGGACTAAACGACTAAAGACCTGTCGCCCTGACCTCTGTGGTTATGTAGTCCTTTTAGCGCCTTGTGCTGTCCCACCTAAAATCAATCACAGACCCACTCCTGGACCCCCTGCAGTTCGCCTACAGAGCCAACAGGTCTGTAGATGATGCAGTAAACATGGCCCTTCACTGCATCCTCCAGCACCTGGACTCCCCAGGAACCTACGCCAGGACCTGTTTGTGGATTTCAGCTCTGCTTTCAACACCATCATCCCGGCCCTGCTGCAGCACAAGCTCTCCCAGCTGAACGTGCCTGACTCCACCTGCAGGTGGATCACAGACTTCCTGACGGACAGGAAGCAGCACGTGAAGCTGAGACAACATATCTCTGATTCCAGGACCATCAGCACCGGTTCCCCTCAAGGCTGCGTTCTTTCCCCCCGTTCTCTTCTCCCTGTACACCAACAGCTGCACCTCCAGTCACAAGTCTGCTGAAGCTCCTGAAGTTTGCGGATGACACCACCCTCACTGGGAGATGGGCGATGGTCGGGATGAGTCCGCCTACAGGTGGGAGATCGACCATCTGGTGACCTGGTGCAGCCAGAAACAGTCTGGAGCTCAACGCTCAGAAGACCGTGGAGATGGTCGTGGACTTCAGAAAGAGCCCAGCCCCATCATCGTGTGTAACTCCCCAGTCACCACCATGGACTCCTTCCGCTTCCTGGGCACCATCATCTCCCAGGACCTCAAGTGGGAGCTGAACATCACCTCCCTCACCAAGAAGGCCCAGCAGAGAGAGAGAGAGATGTACTTCCTACGGCAGCTGAAGAAGTTCAGCCTGTCAAAGACAATGATGGTGCACTTCTACACCGCCATCATCGAGTCCATCCTCACCTCCTCCATCACCATCTGGTACGCTGCTGCCACTGCCAGGGACAAGGGCAGGCTGCAGCGTATCATTCTGTCTGCGGAGAAGGTGATTGGCTGCAATCTACCTTCTCTTCAGGATTGTACGCCTCCAGGACTCTGAGGCGAGCAGGAAAGATTGCAGCTGACTCCTCCCACCCCGGACACAAACTGTTTCAGACTCTCCCCTCTGGCAGGAGACTGCGGTCCATCAGGACCAAAACCTCTCGCCACAAAAACAGTTTCTTTCCGATGGCAGTGGGCTTCCTCAACAGGGCCCCATACTGACACTCAAATAATACAAATGTAAACACTATTTCATTTCCTATCCTGCACAAACCTGGCACATTGCACATATTTGTTGTTAATTGTTGATCTTTGTTGTTGTATATTTTTACATCGTTATGTTTATATATTTCATTGCAAAACGTCTGCACAACACAAACCCAGAATAATGCACATGTAAATATCTGCAACGTTGTTCTTTCTCTGCAAATAGTTGTATTATTTTTCTCTATTCTTTTTAATATTCTTATATAACTTGTCTATTCCATATTTATATATTTCTAAATTTATTCATGTCAGCTGTATGTTTGTCTACGTGTAGCACCTTATCGCCAAAGCAAATTCCTCTAATGTGTAAAACACTACTTTACATTATAGCTCATTCTGATTCTGATTCTTCTTCTTCTGTTCAACATCAGATGATCAATAAATGAGCAATTAAAAAAAATCAATACTGGATATAGATGTTACCATGAGTATGATACTGTAGCTGAGGCAGCAGATGATTGACAGGTCAGACATATCACACTTCAGGATGCCTCGGGCCAGGTCTGGGTTCGGGGGGCGGAGCTCCTCGTAGTCGATGATGGTGTGAGGAGGGATGATGGCAAACCACACAAACACACCGAGGACCTAACACACACACACACAAAGATTAACCTGAATCATATAACAAGCTGCTGAAACAGAAACAGGAAGTGGTCTGACCCCTCACCTGAACGGAGATGAGTATGAAGGTGATGATGAGCTGGGAGGTGGGGCTGATGAATTTGGGCGGGGTCACCGACCTCTTGCCTTGTTCAAAGATGCGGTAGATCCTGTTGGTTTTAGTCAGCATGGCAGAGTATGTGATGGCCATGCCGAGACCCAGCAGGAGGCGCCGGAACGCACAAACCACCACACCTGGCTCCGCGATCATTAGGAAGGTGATCAGATAGATCAAGAATATACCTGCAGAGAGAGAGACACTGGTGTTTTCATCTTCACCGCTGATGACGTCATCGAGAAACTTCTTTCAGCTCAGAAAGTTTTTACTTCAACCACGTAAAGTCTGTTTTTCACATGTTCCCTTCTGTGTCACCGGTATTGTTGCATGCCTTCTACGTCATCCTCTCTGCATTAAAATACATACAGTACTGGGCAAAAGTTTTAGGCAGGTGTGGGAAAATTGCTATAAACTCAGCTTACAAGGTGAGGTTGCTGAAGACTTACTTTCAAAAGTCATACGCCATGGCAAGACTTACCACAGCAACAAGACACAGGGTAGTTATACTGCACCAGCAAGGTCTTACCCAGGGAGAAATTTTCATGCTGCGTTAAGCCAAATGTAACTTAACAATGCACGAAAACAGTATTCTGGATAATAAAACTTTGTCTGATCACGTTGTTCTCATTTCAAGATGTTCTTCCCTGACCAACTGAAGGATTTTGTGCCAGATGTTGAGCTAATATGGCATTGTGTACTATATCATGACATATGTACTCTATCAAGATGTACACTTCCTGTCATTTCTCAAAAACCAAAATGGACAATATCCATCAACAGCTACCCACCTCACATAACAGTGCACTTTATCCACCTACCTCTGCCCCCCCGTCTACTTTATTATCTAGTTTCTTACTCCCAACTGTCACTGAAATATCGGAAATCTAAGTCATCCACCTGCCTGCTTGACCCTCTCCCCGCCCACCTAGTTAAAATCTGCCTACCCTCCCTCTCCTCTCTTATAACTAACATCCTCCACTCCTCTCTTATTTCTGCTCATGTTCCCTCCTCTCTCAAAATTGCTGCTATTACCCCTGTACTGAAGAAACCTGGTGCAAATCCCAACGACCTAAATAATTTCAGACCAATCTCCAACCTGCCATTTATCTCAAAATTCTTAGAAAAAACGGTTGCTGCGCAGGTCCATAATCATCTCATCAACAATAACCTCCATGAACAGTTTCAATCTGGTTTTCGGCCTCTCCGCAGCACAGAAACAGCCCTAGTCAAGGTCACCAATGACCTACTAATGGCTGCTGACTCAGGTCTTCTTACCATACTGATCCTTCTCGATTTAACTGCTGCCTTTGATACAATCTCTCACAATATCCTCCTGGACCGTCTAGCTTCCATTGGTATCATCAACACATCACTGAACTGGTTCACATCATACCTGTCTGGCCGCACTCAGTTTGTACAACTTAAAAATGTTCGATCACCACTCTCACCTGTCACCAGTGGTGTTCCCCAGGGATCATTCCCGGGTCCCCTCCTTTTCATAATTTATCTACTTCTCCTTGGTTCTATTCTCAGGAAATATAATATCCAATTTCACTGCTATGCCGATGACACCCAGCTCTACTTGTCCACCAAACCTACGTCTCTGCTCCCTCCGTTTTCTCTAACTGACTGCTTAGATGAAGTTAAAACCTGGTTCACTCAAAACTTCCTCCAACTAAACAGTGATAAAACTGAAATTCTCCTTGTTGGCTCCAAATCCACCCTAGCAAAATGTCCAAACTTTGCTGCCCGTATTCTCACCAGAACCCCAGTCTCTGAACACATTACTCCACTTCTAACACAACTGTTGTGGCTCCCTGTCAAATACTGTATTGATTTTAAAATTCTACTCCTCACCTTCAAAGCTCTCCATAATTTTGCTCCTCCTTATCTCTCTGAACTCCTTCAGCCCTACGCCCCATCCCGAACTCTCCGATCCTATTCTTCCTCACTACTTTCCATTCCTTCTGCCCGCATGTCCACTATGGGGTTCAGAGCCTTCAGCTATTGTGCGCCTCACCTTTGGAACTCCCTCCCTCTATGCATCCGTACGACTGAGTCCCTGCCCTTCTCTGTATGACCTCATGGCGCAACGGTAGCGCGTCTGACTCCAGATCAGAAGGTTACGTGTTCAAATCACGTTGGGGTCATATCTTTTTAACCCAGTAACTCTGTCTCTAATCAGCCACCTGTTTACTGGTTACCACTTATCATTTATTTATTCACCATTCTCTATTTCAGTGCTGTTTATACTATGTCATATTGTATATACTGTATACCAATACACCTACCTCAGGTCAAAAGGTCATAGGTCACAGGGGTGCCCCAAGGCTCAGTGCTTGGGCCCCTTCTCTTCTCAACTCTATAAACATCCCAGTCGTCACAGCTCAGGGTCAGAGGTTACCCTCTTAAAGTGACAGAGCCTGATATGACAACACATATGTGCTGCTAAGAACCTTTTAACTCAAACCCAGGAGTTACATAATATATATACAGTATATATAACATTGCCACCAATTTTATTAGGGTGGCCGTGGCCCCGGCCCCGCCTGGCGGCGCCACTGCCGACCAATTGCAGTCAGGATAGCCGAGCGGTCTAAGGCTCTGCGTTAAGGTCGCAGTCTCGTCTGGAGGCGTGGGTTCGAATCCCACTTCTGACAGTGAGATTTTTCAGCCGAGCAATTCCCTGTCACATGATAGTAGGGAAAACGAGTAAGTTCTCTGCATGTTATGGGATAAGCGCATAAATTAAACATCCAGTTTGAGCAGTAGAGCTACAACCTTTGCGACGCTGCTTTCAGGAGTAGCTGCAGCAGAGGAGGCTTTATTTTCAGCACCGCACTCCTAGCAAAGTTAACGATCGCAATCAGGGTCAAATAGTTCTGGAGACCCCCGCCCGCCGACTGCTTCCCCACCTTTTTTCTCTGCATAGATAATCTACGTGGCGATGTGAGGAACTGCCTACCGTCTCAGTGTAGTGGTTCCATGGTGTAATGGTTAGCACTCTGGACTCTGAATCCAGCGATCCGAGTTCAAATCTCGGTGGAGCCTGCCTTTTGTGGCCAGATGGGGCCACTGAAAAACCTCGGGTGGCACACTAAAACCAAAAAGCCAAAACCGAATTTCGGGAATTCTATTATACAGTATATAGACTAGTTGAAAACTACGTTAAAATATGAGTTAAGGAATCACAGACTGACATACTTTGGTTTCTTATTTTACAGTTAATGTTACCGATTGCCTAATGTCCATAAACTAAAACCAGTTCAGTTAACAAATTTGAGTTCCATAATGTGTTATGTATCTGCATGTGTTAGGCAATTGTTCTTCAAATACACTAGTTGAGCTTTTCCTTAAAAAAAAACTAAAAAACTACAGCTTTTGTACGAGTGCATTGACTGCAAAGCAAAGAACAAAACATTTAATGGGAACAAGCCTACTCAAGATTACAAACATCACGGAGCATAGATGTTTCTGTTTCATATTAGACTATATAATAATTTCATTGAAATATACAATATGTGTCTGTACAGAGTTGTGCAATTATTTATAAAGAAGAATATTTTATAAAAATGGTTTCAAAACATAGATGCCAGTAAAACTACAATACGCTCTCTTGCTACTGTGTTTTTAACATGTCAACAAACAGCATGGCTGTTTGTACTAAACGAGAGAGAGAGAGATCGCAAGTTACAGTACCACTGTCACAAACCTAAATTAAGAATGCAATATTTAAGCCGACACACATGCGCTCAGAACAAATGAGCCTACAGGGCCATAAGCAAACAGCAGTGAGCTCAACACCACTGAAGTCCACGACGACGCGCACAGACATTTTTTTAGGGATCCAAACCCTTTCTGTAGTCACCTTCACAAAGACATCCTGCAATCAAAATGGAAAGAATGTCCGCCAATATACATCTCCTTCCCGGCTCCGTACCTTTAATACAGCGCAGCGAGCCGGCATATTGGTGTAATAATCTCAAATGATAATGCAGCATGAACGCGCCTATATCACAACAACATCATGACAACAACCGCAATCCATAGCCTAGTATCAATCGATTCAGCACAATAATTTGGCCCACGCACGGAGCAGCAGCACAGTCAGGATGATAAAAGATGATTTCACCCACCACAGCTGAGGGCTCACGTGAGGAGAAAGGCCGCACGGCGTTTTTTCCTCTGGGCAAACTTCTGGATGACTCTGAACTTATTCAGGGAGTCCGCCGACTCGTTGCGGCCCCGCAGTGCTGTTTAACATTTTCCACAGAGTTTAATTAACGTTACGATCCGACTGTCAGTGAGCACGTCGTTGTTTTCCTCCACCTGTTTGCCGCTTAATGGAGCGCCTGCTGGGCAGAGATGTTTACCCTTCCAAATAATGTTAAGCCCAGTTTCACGGCATCGTCCAGCAGTGTCCGCTTGACGTTAGCTTGCTGTTAGCGATGGTGCTAACTTGTTGCTATCCGCAGCCTCGTATAGTTCTCACACACAGTACAATACATGAAAGGGTGTAGCAGTGTGACAAACGTATTATTAAAAAAATGCAAACTAGTTATGCACAAGGACATTTATGACAACCACATGCTCCACTACAAAGACTCCCTCTCTGCAGCAAAACCCAAATACTACACTCATCTGATATCATCTGACAAAGGGAATGCTAGGGCCCTGTTTTCCACAATGAATACAATTTCACGCCCCCCGAATAATCTTCCACCCCATCTTTATTCAATCTCTCAATGTGATAATTTTATGTCATTTTTCAAAAACCAAAATGGACAATATCCATCAACAGCTACCCACCTCACATAACAGTGCACTTTATCCACCTACCTCTCCACCAATCTCCAACCTGCCATTTATCTCAAAATTCTTAGAAAAAACGGTTGCTGCGCATGTCACGATCGTGGTGTGGAGGCAGGTTGGAGAACCCAAACGCAGGACACAGAGCGGAGCAGGTATGGTATAACGAAGGGTTTTAATAAACAAACAAAAGCGAGCACACTTACAGGTGAGTGGCTGAATAACAGAAATCCAAAATCCAAAATTACAGGGAGAGGAGAGGAGACGAGACGAGACGAGACGAGACGAGACGAGACGAGACGAGACGAGACGAGACGAGACAAGCAAGGCTGGTTACAGGCAGAGAGTACACACACGACAGACTGGGGGGTAACAT